AGGCGTTTGTGCACTGGATCCTGTGCTGGATCTCCTCATCAGTGTTCACTGTCTAAGAAAAGTGGCTACCGAGATAGGGGAAGTGCTTGACTATATCCAGGGTCATTTCCTCAACAGTAATTTAGAGAGGGAGGCCACAGTCATGGCCTGGAGCAAGCTGACAGAGCTAATGTTAGTCTTCTTAATATCGAGAGAGAGGGCCAAACTTCGGTAAGCTTCTCCATAAAGATGCAATGCAGTCTGGAGGTTTTCTTCACTGTGTGCAAGGATGGTACAGTCGTTGACATATTGAAGATCAAGGGCGGTTGTTTTGAGTACTTTCGTCTTTAAGCAAAGTGACCCAAATTGATGAGCCCTTCATCTGTTCAGTATTCAGTGTCAGTCCTTAATGAGAACCAAGATGACTGGAAAAAAAAAAAAAAAAGGGAATATGGAAAACAGAGTTGGGGCAATGATGCATCCTTGCTTTAGCCCAATTTGGATGTCAAATGGCTCCATCTCCAATCCGCTAAATATAATGATCGCAGTCATCTGGTCATGGTGGAGCCTCAGGACCTTGATGCACTTTTCAGGACATCCAGAGCTGGCCAGTATTTTCCACGTGGTTTCACAATTGATGAAATCAAATTCTGTAGTAAGTTCGGTGAAGGCCATATACAGGTCCTGATGTTGTTCCCAACAATTTTCTTGGACTTGGTGAGCAACAAAGACCATGTCAATTGCCCCGCCCCACGGGATGTTCTGAAACCGCACTGATTTAACCTCTGCTTTAATTATATTTGTATTCTTATGTCAAACATAGCAGTTATTTATCATCAGGGATCCTAGTTTTCTCTGGGGAAAAAGTGGACAATTTCTTCTTTAAAAAAACACAAAATCCATGTTTTTCCACGATATACAAAAAGTGCAGCGGCATCCCACAGCGAGTAACACTACTTGTGCTCTTTTATTTTTGCTGCGGTTTTTGCCTCTTGGCCAATCAGTGGGCGGGGAGGGAGGTACACTGCTGATTACCTGAGACACAAAAATAAGAGCAGAAATGGTGCCACACTTTCGGGAGATTGTGGAAAAATGTGGTTTCTGCAGTTTTCCATAGTGAATGGAAAACTAGGATCCCTATTTATCATTTTACCTAGCAGCACTGACTATAATATCCACCTCTCCAGCTGGATATAGTTAACATTTTATAGACTAGACAAATGCAGTATTGCTCAAGGCAACTTGTAACCAACCAGCACTATAGTCAATAGAATGTAATGGATGAAAGTGTCATTTTTGACATACCATCATGGTTTTATACACATCATTAGCTTTTTAATATGGGTGAAAGCTGCACACTTGCCCAGTGGGTTTATTTTGCTGGCATATAGGGTTGCATTATGTTGCGCTCACTTTAATAATTTCAGCTCTGACAGCTCAATATTTTTAAAGGGTTTTAAAGCCAGCTTTAATTAATGGAAGCATAAAGGCAGCAATACAATTCCCAGGAGTATAAGTCCTGACTGCATTGTGCACTTCGCAGCAGTGTATGGCAGGGTCTACTCCAGCGCTCTGTGCTGCTTGTTAACCGTCTGCCTAAGTAAGGCTTGGGAGTTGCAGTTGGTATTAAAGCTGTGGATGAAATAGGGAAATCTTGAAGCTAATGTTACATCTCCTGTTTCTTCTAAAAGCAGTCCCAAAGGCATGGACCACAGCTGTAGAATAAAAATAAAAGGCATGAGAGAATTTATTTTTAATTTTAATGGAAAGCAAGTTTCAAAATAAGAAAGGTTGGGTGACAGAATGAAGACGCGCTTTGTCTAACATAGAAGGGCATACAAGTCTGAAATGAGTCTTAGAGAATGGTCTGTGAAGGACTTCATTTTAATTGCTTGAGGTCCTCCATTTTAACATATTTTCACATTTCTAGCTCCTGTAAAAACAGCAGATCCTTGTGAATGGAGCATTTATAACCAGGCTGTATAAATGGTCAGTAGAGCTGCATTCACAATAAGCATTTGGTCCGAAAAATGTAATTCACTCCATCATGAAAACCAAATGTTCCTTTTTAGTGTTTTCAACATTGCAGTGCTCATGCAGTCCTCCTTAGGAGAGAATAAAGCTGGTATGTGAGAATCTCTAACTTTGAAAGTGTCAGAGTGACCAGCTGCTGGACGTATGAGCATATGAGCATACAACATACAAAGATAGAGTATGAACATACCATGTTCAGATGTGATGGTGAAAAGTCTATGATTGCTTGCTTATTTAAAATAATCAAACTTGGGGAATACAGAAGCTGAGATTCCAGAAGCAACATTAGCTTGTTTGCCTTGCATATCCTGCACATCGCTGGCCCCAGCTTTCTCTGGCCTGTGGGCAACAGTACTGAGCACAGAACATGCTGCAGGAAACGTCATACATTACTCTCCCCATCAATCCAAAGAAACACAGATCTGTGAAAAGTGACCCCAAGCAGTGTCAGGGTGTCTTGTAGGCAACAAGTTGCTTGACGGTCATAGACTGGAAACCAATACTTTATTCAAATAATGATTTAATGAAGTGACACATGGACCAAAGGAAATAAGAACAGAAAAGAAGGCATATGTGCAAAGTGACCTAGTTTCTACTGGAAGGTTTTCTTTTGAATTTCTAGACATTTTGTCTGTTCAAGTGTGCATCCTTAATATCACATCAGCACATTTTTCTTTTTTTAGGGTAAAAAAAAATCTATTCTTATTAAGCCCCAGATAGAATTTCACACAGTGAACTGAGAAGAACTCCTATGTTGGATTTTTATTTTATTTACCTGAAATATTCTTGATTTGCATTTGGATGGCCTTTATCTTTTCAGGGAAAAGGGATTCTTGCCTCTTTCACCGTCTCTGAAATATAGAATGGTCCTTCCTCCCTCTGTCCCTTCCCTCCGCCTCCCTCTTACCCTCCCAAATCTTGTGAACAGCAGCAAACTTTATATTCATCCAGTTGGACGATAAGAAAGTGGGAGAGAGTAATGCTGTCTAGATTAAAGCAGTGGTTCTCAGCCTTTTTAGACTTGAGGCACCCCTTGTTAGACTCGAGGCTCCCTTCAGAAAATGTCAGCTTTTAGTTTTCTCTTATTTTTTACTATGGAAAAATAAGAGAGTATTTTTTTGTTTGTTTTTTGCAAAGAACTCAACAGGTCAGAATATTTTTAACAAACCCAGAATTTTCAAATAAGAATATGTATCATCTTGTGAGTTATGTTTGCACACCCAACAGTGCTAACATTGTGTGGCATCCTGTGGTACCCTTGAAAGGATCTCAGAGCACCCCAGCATGCTGCAACCCCATGTTTAGAATCACTGGATTAGTCTACTAAAATCTTAGCTGTTGCCCTAAGCTTAAAAATGTGATTTCCACCCACTGGGTGCATCTACACATTCAATTAATGAGACGCAATAAACTCCAGAGTTCTCAGAGCTGAAGTCAACTGTTCCCTGGTGCAGTGTCTACACATGCACCTGGGACAGCAGCACTTTGAGCCAGGTCTGAGCTGGCAGCAGGCTCAGGGACTCAGCCCCAGGCTCTAGGTGGTGGCATCGGGCAGCAGAGGCACTAGCTGGGGCACAAGGGTGCAACACTTGCAGAGCCATGTGGCTAGGTGGCAGGCAGGAGTCTGACCCCCACCTGGTCAGCTCAGTAAATGACTCCACCATAAGATATTACTGTCCCCAACAGTGCTATCTTACAATGGAGTTAATTAATTTACTGCGCCCTAATACTGGTGCACATGTAGACTGTCATACTTTCCTATGGAACTAATTGGTCAGCTCCTCAGTAAAGCACATGTGTAGATGCACCCACTTATAACTGTATTCACTCCAAAAACTAATCTTCATTGAGGATAAGCTCCAGGTCTGATATCTAGTTTCACTTATTTTTGGCCATAGCTGAGTGTTTAAATGACTTTTATTATTATTTTTACAAAAACAAACCTCTTTTTTCCATTACTAGCAAATGCCTAGAAGCATAGAAAGTTCAGCACAAATGATGACTGTTTTAGAGAGTAGTGTGAACATAGCTTATAACTGAAAAGGCTTTTAAAAATGGATTCAGCACCTCTTACAAGCATTGTATCACCCAGTTCTTTTATCACATCTTCCTCCCCTTAGATATTGTTATGGAATCAGAGGCTGTCTCTTAGGGCTTGCATAAAGTTGCACTGGTTTAAGCTGTAGCACTGGTTTCACTAAAACAATATAATTTTGTGCAGAAACGTACTGGTTAAAATCTGGTTTATCCCATTAAAACCAATGTAGGCCAAGTTTAAACATAGATAATTGTGTAGGAACATGCACAAAGTCGCATTGGTTTAACAACCAAACTTAACAAACCAGCATAATATTATGTGTAGACTAGGCCTCGCAATGTGATTTTACAGTAGCTGGCACAATAGGGCCCTTGAGCTCAACTTCAGGGTCTATTCATGGTTTAAAACATGAAATCAGTTTGCGTTCAGCATGTGGTATTTATGTGCATGGATAGGTTGTGTGCACATATGTAAAATAATGATTACCTAATAGTGTTCGCTATAGCCAGTCTTCTCTTTGTATTTCATATTACAGCTTTTATTTATTGAGTAGCCCAGTAATGGCACCTAGACCATTGTACGATAATTGAAAGTACATTCTACCCAGTAGGAGTTACATATCCTTTTGCTTGCAAGGTCACTTATTTCTCATAGATAGCGTATCCTTAAGCAAATTCATTTATCCAAACCTGACCTCCCCATTCTGCTATGGATACATTTCACAACTGAATGGAAAATATGCTATTGTTAAAATGCTTTGTGGTGCCATCTAGTGGAAACGAGGCAGTGAGTGACCTACCATGAGTAACAGAATAGGTTTACCGTTCACTAACTGCCCAGGCCATTCTGTCTGTAAGTGAATATGTGGCTCTTAGAAATAAAACAGATTTGTTCTCCATACTTTTGCAGTACTTACTTTTCTTTTATCATTCTTTTCCTCTTTATACAGGCTCTTGATGGGAATATATATGATCACCTTAAGGATTATTTAATGGCGTTCAGCAGGACTGAGCTAGAGACATGCCAAGCTGTACAGAATACATTCCAATTTTTATTGGAGACTTCTTCCAGCAGGGTAAGTTTTAACCAAATTATTTTTTATAATGGAAGAGACAAAATCATGCATTAAGTTGTGAGTCTCTTGGGTACCATATTCTTTCAAACTTAAGACATCCTTTAATTTAAGATGCACCCGTTTTCAGACTCTCAGCTTAAGAAAATAACCCTTCAAATAAAGACATATTTACAAGAATATAACCTCTGTGTGGTGCATATAAGCTCTTTTTACTTTTTTATTAAACATGCCATTTTTAGAAGAAATATTTGTTTTAAAAGGTGGATTCTATATTTGAAGGAAATAATTACCAACAAGTAAAAGGCATGCTGAAGGTGCATTGTGTTGGTTTATACCTGTACTGCATTCGCTTTAACAAATTGGGGCTTTTCCCTGTTCCTGCAAAAATACTGCATTCTCCTGAGTGCATTTGCATTCTACAAGATCTTTCAATACTGCAGCAGTAATTGGGAAGTGTTCATGCTCCACGTTTTGTAAGAAGCTGAACTTCAGTGTACTTGAAGGCCTTATACAATGTTATCTGTAGCAATATTAGCTATTATCAGCTGTTCAGATATTTTTTTTCAATAACTCATTGTTTTGGTTAAAAGTTATATCCTGTTCATGTTTGGAAATAAAAACAGGAATGTAGAAAGCACATCAGAGTTTTGTAATTACGTCCGTTGTCTCCAAGGATGATCTGTAAGGTCCCTTCCAGCCCCTATCGATATATGAATCTAAGTAACCAAAATCAGAAATAAGATTTCCAAAGTCCGTCTTCTGGCAGCTTTGTAGTTCATCTCCAGCAAACCCTGAATCTGTTAGATTCCATTACACCCCAAACCAGGTTAGTCCTGGCATATTTTGGATCGTTTGTAATATTCCTGCTATAAACCATGACCACTGCCACAGAAACGGCACATGCTTGCGATTTTGAATGTCAAGACCTGCAGAGAAACAAAGCTAAAGATTTTTTGGGACTCATCCTCTGTTCGTCTTAGTAGCTTAGGAGTCAGGACCCTACATTTTAATTAGGTACAGTATAACAGTCACATTTAACTACCTGCAATATAGCCAGTCTTGATGAATTTATTGGCAGTGTCAGAGGAGGAAGTAAAAAATATCTTTTTTCCCTTCCGTGAGAGAAGCTCACACCGTTAATTTGTATTAGCATACATCCTGCAACACCTCTCAACGAAATGACATTTTCTCTGATGTAGTTACTTTCCAGTGGTTACCAGTATATAGTACCCCTTTATCAAGCTTCTGCACGCTGATACCTCATTTTGCTCTGTTTATTAAATGCTTTGTATTCAGAATACTAGGTGCATTTCCAAGCTTTTTTAGGAGAATCAGCTATTTAAACAGCCATTTCCAGAGGTCATTTGCATAGAAAATACCTTTGTCATTTATTTTATTGAGTTTAGCTAGAAAGAGAGAGCATGCACCAGCAAGCTTATATTCAGCCAGTTGCCTGCAGGTATAATTTATTTTATGTAGTAGTAATGTTTTGCTGTATGTTTGGGGGAAAATCATTCTGTTTTCAGCTTCTGCAAGATACCACAACACCTGGAGAAGCAGCAAAAAAAAATAACCATAGCTGTCATGTCTGAACAGAGCTTTAACAGCTGTCATCTACTTCGTTTATTCTGGTGTTAACTCATTTTTTTTGTCTTCCTTTTTTCCATCACTAAAAGTCTGTGTGACATTTCTGCTTATTGGCTGGGTGCACCAGTATGAAACCATACAGCCACGTGATAAATGTGCTTGTTAACATTTATATAAACAGCTTATCCAAGACCAAAGGCATGGATTAAAGTTGTGCATATATAAAAACTCAGCAAGCTAGAATCACCAGAGAGAACTAGCTAAGCCACTAAAATACTTCTTTCCATTTCTCTGCCCTCAGCCCTGCAGCATTTCCTAAAGGTCAGGGTAGCAGGAATCAGTCAGACCAAAGGTGCGAGAGGTGAATTTAAGAAGTTAAGAGCACTTTACTAAAAGTTCATTTAAGTTGGGAGCATTTTCCTAAGAGCTACAGGTGTATTTTTAAAATTGCCAGTGGTGGAACATATGAAAGTGTGTCCGTTTGAACAGTTGTGTTCTTCAAAATAAAATTTGCATGTCAGGTTCTTCAGATAGCCAAGATCCAAACCATGTATTATGTACTGTGATCACTTCCTCTTTGCCTACCAGTTTTAAATGCCACGCTTTAAACATGCAATATTGCCTATGGGAAAACAACATCCTTTGTAGGTTTTTTTCATAGATGTTAGGGGCTGGAAAGGACCTTACAAGATCATCCGTTCGAGCCCCAAAGTAATGTTTTAGCTATTTTTCATCTGAACCCTCTGAGAATGTGGGCTTATAATTTAAAATAAATAAAAAAATTGAAAGGCCAGGCTATCATTATGATGGGGCTTTTTTAGAAAACATCCCCAAAATAGTTTTTTCTATTAAATGGAACTGGATATGAATGTGACATAATGTGTGGTGGTACAGAGGTTTTATTGGTGGTAACTTGGGTAATAATGTTCATAACTCCCTTCCAAGAAATATAATTATTTCAAACTCTGAAAGATGCAGCTAAACTTACGATTTACTTGTCTGTTTTTACTCAAGGACTTTCCCCTTGTATTTCAATTCAACTTAGAGGTTAATTTTGCTTGGGACATCTCAGTAACCCAAAAACAGCTAATGGGATTTTACTGAATTTCATTGATAGTTTTTTGTTGAGAAGATATACCAATTCAGCTTGCAGCATGCATTTGATATATAAGGTAGCATATGCTAACTATTTTGGATGTAGATGTACACGAGAAGAGAATATGTTTAATCATCATTTTTTGCATATAAAAAGTTTCTATTAGCGAGGCATCCAGTTAATTTCTGAATGGACAAATACAGGGTTACCTGGGCAGGTTGATGAGGAATTCTGAGATTTTTGAGTTGCATAAATTGGTCTCTTCCAAAAATAAAGAAATGCTAGACCTACTGTGCATCGTGTTCCAGAAGTGTTAATTTGCCAGCCATGTATACATTATTACTACTGTCCTGTATATAGTCTGTCAGTCATTCATAGCAAAATAATCCTTTTGAGAGGAAATTTTCCCAGCATTGCCTTTTCAAGGTGACTTTTCTTTGAAAAACTGAGCCACATTTGTGTTGTGCAGCTGTAGGAAGCAAGTTGCTTTCTGTGCTAAATTAACTGGAAAATGTTCTGTGTGTTAAAACTTCCAGTGCATCCTGTAACTGTCCCCAGTGAGGCTTGCTGACTGTTACATTTCAGAAATGGTTTGAAATAGTTGTGAATGTTTGAAAATGGCCCTTTGAGCATGCATCCCATTTCCAAACATCTCTCAAGAGCAGTGCATTGGCAGCCCCTGTGTCCCTCACTTTTCCTCAGTCCTTCGTATTCGCTTATAGGCAACTTTTTCAAACATACAATGATTAGGTGATATATATGCATCACAAAACGAGGCATGGGCAGTCAACCTAATGACTAGTATTAGGCTGAAGTCGGAGGTCAGGGAATAGCCAGGTCTGAACCAGGGGGCTGGAATCTGAGATGGATCCAAGTTGACAGATGGGGCAGAAGGCAGGGAGCAAGCCAGGTCAGGTACCTGGAGGTCTGAGTCCAGAACGAGGCAAATCAAATCATAAAGCAGAGACAATTGTCAGTTTGCACCAGGACATCAGGTCTGGGATCAGGAGTACTGCAACACGGAGACAGCAGTGCGGTCTGCAGGAGCCTTGTTGTTCAGATAACCTCCTCTCTGGCCTTACATGGTCTGGAGGGACCAATCTGCAGCCAGAAGCCCTGGCCACGCGTGGGAGGTCTTCTCGTGGTGGAACTCCTTCCCTACTGCTCCATCTTTGGCTACAAGCTGTGGCCTGAGATGGTGCTTGCCTCCCAAGTCTCCAAGTTGGGGTTTCAGGACCAGATCTTGACAGTTTGGTCCAGAGGCATACATATGTAGATGGCTTTCAGTCAAAAATACTTTACTTAGGGAAAGTCTGATCTGGCCCTTCCAGATACTAGCTGAAAGGTGAGGGTACAAGGTAATGTTCTGCTTCTTGGTTGCTTGCAACTGTTAAGAAGTTTGCCAGTATATGCTTTTCCTCCCTATTGGCTTGACCGTTTGCCATCTTATTCCAAGCCTACGTGATAGAGTCTGGTATGCAGTGCACCCTGAGTTCAGTATACTCATTGCTGTATTTTATTGAAACCTGACATGTTGATAAATAGCCCTTATTTAAACGTGTATTCATTATAGCAGAAGCTTTCAGCATATGTGACTGAGTGACATGCCCAAACCCTCCCAAAGCTGCAAATCATCCTGTTGTCTCCCAGCTGTAAACCCCCAAACAAAATTCCTGGTTCCTTTCGGCAGTAGGTCTTCTACACGTATTTTAATGTGTTTATGGTAAGGTGCGTGCATTTAATTGTGTAGCCTAATCTCGGTTCAGTCACGTATGGTTTGTTTTCACCCATAATCAGCGCATACGTAGATGTACATGTTTATGTATACTCCAGCGGGGGTGTCAAATTCGTCCCTTGTCGCAGGCTAGATCTGGACGCAGCAGCATGGGGGACAGTGCAGCTGTCACTCGCCCTCCATCACTGATGGATCTACGCAATAGGGCACCCCACCCAGCAGGTCCTGCCCCTGAATTCTGGGCCTCTAAGGACACCCTGGGAGCCAAACAACACTGGTCTGCAGGCCATACGCTTGACACCTCTGGACTAGAACACTTGTCTAGTAAAAGATGGGAAT